TCTCTCTACTATGTAGGATGAAAAAAACCGTATCAACTCGATCGCATCCCTCGGCTAACGCCGTTATTATAGATTGTACGTAAGTCCGGGATGAGCTTGGCAACGTGCACATAAGAAAATGCTACGCAACGCCCAGTGATGCCGGAGTAGTGTACAAAAATATAAATGAATGTATATTTCAAATAAAATTTCATATAAATCAATACAGAATTGGCGCTTGTATTACTCGCTTTTAACAAGAGGCACACAGGGCCTGTATAGGTCACCTGGATATCTAAGCAATCATGGCAAAATATTCTCCAAACAAGATCCAAGGGAATGGGCCAGATCCCTAGGCTCATCCTTGAAGCATATCTGTATTAGATTTTTCATGCCCAGCAACTTTAAGAATGGTAATGGGGTCGGGATCTCAACTGTTTCCAAGCTGTTACTCAGAAACTAGGTCCTTAGGGTTGTGGTAAGACCCCATGATCAATTATAATACCATGACTGCACTACTCTCTTTATGCCCAGCATTGATATATATACTTTTGGGTTGGAAATCTCAACCGTTTCAAAGTTATGACCCAGGGGTTAATTCTGCAAGGGTTGGGCAGATCCCTGCATGGGTCCATTCTTACCTCATGACTGCATTCATCTCTTTATGCCCAGCATTTGTATATATAGTTTTGGGGTGGGGATTTTAATTATTTCGAAGCTATGACCCATGGGTTAGGTCTCCAAGGGTGGGGTAGACCCCAGGACCATTTTAGAAGCATATGTGCATTCGTCTTTTTATAGGGTGGGGATCTCAAGTGTTTCCAAATTGTGACTCAGAAACTAGGTCTCTAGGGGTTTGTCCTGACCACATGGTGTATTCTAATATCATGACTGCATTCATCTCTTTATGCCCAGCATTTGTATATTTGGTTTTTTGGTGGGGATCTCAACCGTTTCAAAGTTATGAGGGGGTGGGGGGTGGGGTCTGCCCCACCATTTGTTCATGTTTTTGTCCCCACTACCTAGGGATGCTTCCATCTCTTTAGTTCGAGAGAAGAAGTTGATTTAAGCAATATAGCCAAATAACCCTTTTTGGCCCCGCCCCTCAGCCCCATCATTTGTACAATGTGAAATCCCCACTACCTAGGAATGCTGCCAGTCAAATATGGTTGATATCCATCCCTTAGTTCCAGAAGAAGTCGTTTAAAGCCAAATTGCCCCCTATTGGGCCCGCCCCTCAGTCCAACCATTTGTACAATTTTGAATCCCAACTACCTAGGGATGCTTCCAGTCAAATTTAGTTAAAATCCGATCAGTGGTAAAGAAGAAGAAGTCGTTTGAAGAAATTGTTGACGCACGGACGACGGACGCCACGGTATGGCATAAGCTCACCTTGGTCCTTCGGACCCGGTGAGCTAACACGGGGAGTCAACAGCCGACGTACCAGTCAGAGACCCGGGTATCCTCTGACTTTTACACCAGACCAGATATATAACCCCTGGTAACGAGTGACTCTTACAGTAGACCTGATACACAAACTTGAACGGACACACCACCAGGCAACAAACATACTGAGACAAAGAGGTTACTTTTGTGCATGTTGGCCAATCTATAAAGTCATTACATATGACACGTTGGTTAAACCTACAATGTGTTCACGATGTACCCGAAAGGAAACTTGATAAAGTGAGTTTTACTCTAAAGTTCGATGTCCCGACTTAAAATGAAAACTTATTTAATACAGAAACCTCGTTCATCCGAACCTCTCCCTAATCCCGACATTTCAATGATACTTCAGTCTGGTTATCTAGGAAAGTGTATGGATTAGTAAGACCCTATCGTCACACGGAACGTCTTGGTCGATCATCTAGGGTCATCTGTTTTCATCCATGGGAAGGGCAGAGGTCATATTCGATCCTCAAGTAGCATATGGAATTATACTATAAAGAGATTGCTATGAAACAAAGAACCATGATGGAAATTGCTGTATCACTAGGAACCCTGGCAGAGATCGTTATAGTGCAACGGATTATGAAAGACATAGTTTTAGCACAAGGAACCCTGGTAGAGATTACCATTACAAAAATAACCATTCATGAGAGAGATTGCTTAGTACAAGGAGCTATGGGAACGATTGCTATAGCACAAGGAATTTTGGGAGAGATTGCTCGATAGCTACATCACAAGGAGCCCTGGAGAGATCGCTAAATCACAAGGAACTCTGGGAGAGATTGCTACAGCACAAGGTGTCCAGGAGATATTGCTACAGCACAAGGAACCCTGGATAAATTGCTACAGCACAAGGAACCCTGGATAAATTGCAACAGCACAAGGAACACTGGGAGAGATTGCTACATCACAAGGAACCATTGGAGAGAATGCTACATCACAAGGAACCATGGAGAGTTTGCTACAATACAATGTACGATATATTGCAAGGCACCACGGGAGTTTAGCCAAGGTGCTGATGATTCGCTCAGTTCCGCTCAGATGACATCATTGTAAGCTATAGCTAGTAGCTTGTGGTGGGTTTTATGCAACAAACAATGCAAAGTAGCACCTGTGGTAAAATATTAAATAGCGTTGATCGATTTTGTATGTCTGCACAACTTCTTCAACAATGTGCTGGATGAAACACGATGTCGAACAAATAATCTGGTTTAATTATGTGTACGTACATTTAACAGGTCTCAGATGTATTTCATTCAACTTCAAAACTGATTCGAGTAGATACAGATGTAAATGTTGTCGTAAAACAAATAGAAAAGACACAGACTACAAGCAGGCTAACTATACCTAACAACAAGGCGGTGTACGTTATTGTTCAGACGGAGTTATTAAGATGTTCGGCTTTACGTACTACTCAGAAACACCATATGCCATTAACAACAGTTTGGTTTGGTTTTATTTTGTTTAACGTCCTAATAACAGTGACAAGCTGTATACCGTACGTGTCATAAAACAGAAAACGCCTTTCAGGAACTACAGTTTAGAAAGTGCAGAGCGTACTATGTTTAGGGGATACAGCAGGCCTATTCTTCACCCTAAACTGCATGGGTAGATTTATTTGGGATACAGCATTAATATTCTCACCTCGAAAGTGCATGGGTAGATGTATATGGGATACAGCATTAATATTCTCACCTCGAAAGTGCATGGGTAGATATATATGGGATACAGCAGAAATGAAGGGTTTTTTTCCTGTGCCTTCTGCTAAGGGGTATAAGTTATTCCCTGCTTAACGTTCAGCTTTTCTGGAAATGGCATCAACTGGTTCACAATTAGTTGGTATAATATGACCAGGTAAACTTGTGTTTGGTACCATGGTATTTCAGTTGGGTAGCATTTTAGAGTCGGCATCTGAACTGCGCTTTCACAAGGAGGTTAATACACCAACATACCCTGCCTCCAGCCTACATGCATACACTACACACATGGAGGCACGTGCCTAAATGACAACCAAAAGCTATATATATGTTTCGGTATAATTCAGACACAATTAATGTCAGCCTCTTAGCCACAGGGCCGTATGTAATAGACACGGGTGACCAGTGGAATGATGATACCATTTCAGCTGTATCCAGAAAATGCATATCTCCATGTCCCTGTTTAAACAATATACTGTAGCTAAAATTAATATCACTAGTCAAAGCCTAGGTAAATGGCTCGAAAACTGGGGGATATATATGTTGCATTTGATATACAACATATAAACCTTTTTTTCCTAGACTGATTATAGATTGAACCAACGCTCGCCCTGTCCAAATCGCATGGCCCTCTGTGTGCACGTTTACGCTAGTGACCAGTACAATTTAGTCCGCGTGGCTCTGAGCTATGCCTAATTCGTGTTGCTATGCCTTTAATTAAGCAGTACTAATTCAGGATAAATGTATTCTCTGGGCCCAATCACCAGTACATCACCAATATACTCATTGATTGGCCTCCAGCATGCCGCCAAAACCACAAACTACCAGTCCGAACAAATTTGACGAGCGCCAATCACTAAATCACCACATAGCATATTATGGAGAGCGAGTCCTGCCGATAGGCTCACAGCCTAATACAATGTTATGTAAGAGATTGATTTTTAAAAGCAATTATCATAGAAAATTCCATATTGACATATAACTTGATGGAGAACGCGCGGTGCCTGTAGGCTTGGTACGTATACGTGTTTGGGCTGTGTTTACTTTTGATACAGCTAAACGCCGCGCGGACGGAAGCTTGTGTATGATAAAAGCGTTCTAGTGAAAGTCGAGACACATTGTTAGGTTGCGGTCATTTGAACGTTTTACAATCACGTATGTTTTCATACAAGTTTGACGACAAAGTTAATGTTGAATCTTATAGAGGTTAAACGTACAACAAGATACAATTGTTTTTAAAACAATCAAAGAGATCTTAAGAATATTTTAAAAGTATATTTATGTTTGAACGACTTTTAAGAATAACAAAGCATTAAACACATTAGTAGGCCTCTAAATGGCGATATTGGATTTCGTATGATGGTAATGCATCGATTTCTGATATAATTAGGACCAAGTATGTTTTGTTTACCCTGGCGTTGCCCAACAAGTCAAGTTCACGGCTATTGTTGTTATTGTTTTGATTCCAAAAATAAAATTACTTCACTCTCAAAAAAAATACTACGGGCCGACCCTTTAACGACTCCATCAATGTTGACCCTTTCATCTCGCGTGTTAAAAACTCCCTCTATTACTCATAAACCCCTTAACGATTCAAGTCAATCAAACGCAAACCCCAATGACCCTCTCCCATCGATGTTGACCCATTTTCTACGAATACTTTAATTTCCTAATGAGTTATGAATGACTACTGAAATATCCACCTTTAGTGACCTTACTGTCATTTGATAATGCCCATTGTCAATTCAATACCAAACCTCTCCACCTTCCTATCTCTCAATACCCCCCACCCCCACCCCACCCTTTCTTAGAGTCTGTCTCCACCCCCTTCCGTATGAATATAAGCCCCATTTCCCCCTGGTTTGCGGTACACACCTTTTTGCCGCGCAGATTTGTCACCTGTGCCGTCTGTCGTTGATCCTGCACGGACGGGAGTTCTGCTTGCTCCTCAGTGAATTCACTTCCATCCACCTCCAGGACGGGTGACAGTTTCGACTCCGTTTTGGGTTTAGGTGTCTTCGGAGTTGGGGATTTAATAGACATGATGACATGATCGGACCCTGGCCACGTGGCGGGAGTCCCAAGTTGCCTCCGGATAGGGAATTCAACGTTATCATACGGCGCTGCATCCATCCCCGCGGTGGGGTCGATGGTAACGGTCACGTACAGTGACAAGAATGTAACAAATTGCTACACACTACGCTCACAGGCAATCCACTTTTGACACAGGCAAGCTACTTATCACATATAAACAATTACTCTCCCCTCTGCACGTATCAGCCTCCCCGTCAGGACAGACCAGCCGGCCAGTGAGGTACACCCGGCCTTTCTATAGGTGTACCCCTCCCCTGTCCGCCTGTAGGTACTACTCAACCTAGGATAGCTTATGTGGTGCGTAATCCATTCTATAAACTAGGCAATCTTTGCGTAAGTGAATCTCTGTGATACTGACTGTACACTTCACAAATATTCCACTGATAATTTGAAATATATCCGATTATGAAACACACAGTAAGTTCCATTTCACTGTTTGGGCTAAAAATACATGGTTATATACTTACACAAGATATTTGGTCTCACAGGTTTTTTTCGCCTTTGAACATTTCTGTAAGTCTCCATCCAGGATGTTATGCTATAGAGCTGTGCTCTCGTGTAACTTGTACACGGCCGCTCGCAACACGTGCAATAAACATAGAGAGTGACTCCGGGGCTTATCATGCATGTTTGTTACAAAAGGAACGCCATTCATCATCACATAACCTTTGACCTAAGGCGTAGCCCGCGAGTGGACAATATTAGGCTCCATTTCAAGTGACCTTTGACCGTTTTGTCACTGGTCCAAAAAAATGACTTTTGTTCCAGCGCTGGGAAATCAATCACAAGCTCCAAGAGTCGAAATACTGAAAGCGTGATACACATTCAATGAACAGTGCGATCGTTCAAACAACCGCTTTGTAAGCAAAAACATGAACATGTGCAGTCCACCAGTAGTTATAAACACAATCCTCGTTCGCAGGTATGACGTTATCATTAAGACATTAAGCCGTAACCGTAAAACTTCTATATACCTGTTGCTAGTTGGCTCGATTCCCTTTTATACAGACAATACGCCCGTTACACCACCGATACGTGTGTGAATGGAATGTCCCTCTCGCTCGCTCGCTCTCTCTCTCTCTCTGCAGCGCCGTATCGATCTGTCGGGGAAGAAATGCAGTTTTGCTATGACGCGAGCCTCAAGATCTCGAACTATGCTTTATACTATTGTCCCTGTAGACGGCAAATCATCCCAAAAATACGTCAACGTCAGAGTCAATAAAGGGAACTCTGACTTCATTTATGTGTATACTATAATGCTTATTTCACGCTTGACGTGTGTCTATTCTCAAACGTTCGGGATTTTAATATTAAAGGAAGTGATTGAAAAGAGAGAGAAATACTAATTTTAGAATCGTTCTTTATTACACTGTGCGGAACATAACGACATTTTTAGCTTGGAGGACAAAACGTCACTAACATTTTAGTATCGTTACCGTGTTGTTTCTGATTTAAGTCGAGTATCCCGAGAGACCAGTTAGATTCCAGATCACTTTAATGTAAAGCTATATTTGTACATTTATTATTTCTGCCTGGAGTGAAACAGTTAATGTTAAGGGTTATGTTACCTTTGTGACAACATTGCATTGTGTAGGTATTGACAATGTATAAAATTAGAATAGATCTCTTCAATGTGACATGCAAGCTTGTTTTAGTAGTTCTTGTCTTTTAGTCTTAACAATACTAGTGAAATAGGTTTTAAGGAAGTAACACGGATAATATTAAACCATTTGTGCCGGCATATTAACTAAAATAACGAATTTGTCAGCCTTACGAAATAGAAGTATATGCATGTACAAATTCCAAATCAGCGGAATGTTTTTCTTGCTTCCAGACAACACAATGGATTAGAATTATCGCCGTATGACAACTAGTATTACCTATACGATTTTCTCCTGCAGCCTGACAGAACTCCTGTTAGTTGATGTCTGGTCTATCGTGTCTCAGAGCAATGAATAACTGTGTTACATCCGGTATACAATAAAACGTCGATACAACGCCCCTCGTTCCATTTGCCTCCTCGCTTATATATAATTACTGCCAACATATTTCAATGCTCTTTTATCTCGTTTTTGCATATTTCCTTTATACAACGTTCCTAAATTTATTGCCAAACCCCTTTATAATGCCGAAATGTCCCTGGACAAATTGTTTTACCGTTATTAGTTTCTGAATAATAGAGTAACCATGTAATTATGCTGATATGAATGATTTTGACAGAATGTAACACACAAACTTTCACCATATTGATCGAAACTGTGACGACTGTCGGTCACTTCCGGTTCGTTTCGCTTCTCTTCCTCGTCACCGGATTATGATAATCCCAGATCATGGCTCCAGAGTGTATCATGAAGATTGAAGAAAGGAATTAATACGGACACAGAAATTATTCTAGGAAACTTGAATGAAAGAACCAACTTCACACACAGAAAGAATGCTAATAAATCTTAGAAGTATTGTATGTCACTGGAAATAATGGCCCAGGACATTGTGAAACAGTCTTTATAACATCATTGCTACCATTGTCTTGATACAATAAAGCTTTGTAATAACAATGGTACGTTCTTTGTGAACAGACTCAAATGAAGCTTTCAATGTCCCGTTGGTCTTTCTCCGATAAATCACTTTAATAAGGCGCTCTTTTATTTTGATTTTGTAATTTAAATGGCGTGCTGTCGACTTCAGCTCCTATTATCAAAGAATTAAGATATCAACCGTCGAGTTCAGCTCTTGTTCTCAGAAAATCTAAATATCTTATCTTCGAAATCAATTCCTGCTATAAGTCGCTTCGATGTGTTGACCACCTGTTCATTAGAGTTGACTTTGCAATTTTTGAACCAACCGGGAACCGTCTACACTTTCTGTAAACGAGAAAATACTCGTTTACAGAAAAAGACGATGATTTCCGATTGCTTATTTACTAACTTCACAGGGTAAACAAGTAGTAATTCAGTCCTTATATGTGTTTACTTACTGACTCGCCACCATTTTGTCGTCATAGTAATCCTTTAAAGCATTGCTATGAAGTAGACAAACAGTCAACTTCCTTTTACTCTCGACTGTTCACGTGATATCTCGATTCTCAACGAATGGCATAGAAGTTTGATGATACTTTTTTATTAGCGAATAAATAAAATTGTCAAAATCCATATTGTTTTCCTTTTTTATTGGTAAATGTTAAAGGAACTGCCTGAACATATGACACTCAATGTTTATTTTAACATACCCTGCGTGCAGGCTATTTAACAAGCAAGAGGTCCAGTGTGCCTGCATCGCTCATTGGCTATTAAGCTGACACTTGAAACCTTTATAGTGGACAATGGTCAAATTCATTTAAATGGACTTAATAAAGCTACATGCTCAACATCATTTCATATGACACTAAACAATCTGTTGCCAGATTTTACAACATTTGACCCTTGTGACAATCAACATTTATGAAGGACATTCATTTCAAAATCTCAACGGCCTTTCATCCCAGCATGCTAATGGCCAAAAATGTCATCGCCTAGGACTTTCTTTCGAGTATTAAGAAGAAGTAATTTATATGTTTTTAACACTTTTAATCTGTGACCTTGTTATGGCTGAAGGTTTTTCATTTCAATGCCCATGATAGTCCCTCATACCAACAGGCTACTGGCCAAATATATCATCACCCTAGGTGACTTAGTAATTCAGAATAAGCTGCTTTACAAGTCTTCAACACATTTGATCCCCGTGATATTGAATTAAGGGGAAAGTAATTCATTTGAACAAACTTGATATGTATTTATCTGGGCATGCAACAGGCCAAATATCAGCAAACATGGCTTTTTGGTTCAAAAGTGGTTTAAATGGTTTTTTTTATTTAAACATTTAAAACCTTTGGCAATATATATATAGGAAACTACTAATCAAACATCATGGCTCTATGGCTCTTAGTGCTTTGGAAGAAGTTTTTGACATGAATTACAACATTGACCTTGTATAAAGGTAAAGTTCATTCATTTGACATATTTCATTAGCCTTCATCCCAACATGCTACTGGCCAAATGTCATAATTATAGGCTTTTTGATTCTTCAGAACAAGTCGATTGAAGTTTTTGACATATAGGCGAAGGTCACTTTTAATCGCAAATTTTGTTGGGCTCTTTCCCAGGAAACTACCAGCCTATATCATGATTATAGTCTTTTGGTTCTTCAGAAGAAGTCATTTAAAAACTTTCTACAACTTTCTAGTTGTTAGAAGAGGTTGTGTATTTTTTCATATTTGACCCCTGTGACATTGAAAATATATCAAGGTCATTCTTACTCGGTAATTTTGATTTGCTATATTCTAGGAAGCAAACAGTCTAATATCATGATTCTACGCCATCCCATTCTTCTTCAGAAGTCGTTTGAAGTATTAGCTTGACTCCTTTGACCTTGAATACAGGTCAGGTTCATTTGTATTGGCAAACTTGGTTGCCCTCTATCCCAGCAAGGTACCAACCTACTATCATGATTATGGGCCTTTCCATTTTTAAGAAGATGTCGTTTGAAGTTTTTGACATATTTTACCTCTGTAATTTTGAATACAAGTAAAGGTCATTTTTACTCGTACACTGTGTTGGGCTTTATCCTAGGAAGATGCCAGCCTGATATCAAGAATTTGCACCTTTCCGTTATCCAGAAGAACTAGTTTGAAGATTTTGACATATGTAACTGTGCATGCCTCTTTAGCAGAAAGCTTCCAGCCAAATATCATGGTTCTAGGCCTTTCTGTTCGTTAGAAAAGGTCGTTTTAAGGAAAAGTTGAAGGACGACCGAAGGAGGACGGACGTGAGCTAAAACAGATGAAATTAAGCACCTAGCCCGTACCAATATGAGGTTATTTACATAAACATTGCGGTTTCCCAATCTTCAAATCAATAACGTAGGTACACTTGTGTTTGAGTTATATAACGTAGGTTTAGCTAACTACTACATTTTGTATACATATATTATCAGGAACCCCGATCATGTGCAGTATTCCTGCTACCGGCATATTCTGCATGTGTATGAACACATTCCCTCTGAGACTGGAATACATACTGGGAGCATAAGATAAGATTAAAAACATAAACAACATCCTTTAAATTCAACAGCCAATATTGCTCAAGTCACATGGGAGAGACGCGCAAGCAACGCATGCAAGCAGTTGACATGGAGCACACAAATAAGCTATACACAGACAGACGCCATGGAGGAACCAGTGGTCTAAACAAGTTACAAATACAGTCACGGTCAAAATGGAGCGCACCGTTCAATGATCACAACACGTCACACATACAAACACAGTCTACATGGAGCGCACCGTACAATGATCACAACACGTCAGACATACAAACAGTATACATGGAGCGCACCGTCCAATGATCACAACACGTCACACATACAAACACAGTCTACATGGAGCGCACCGTCCAATGATCACAACAGGTCACACATACACAGTCTACATGGAGCGTATCGTCCAATGATCATAACAGGTCACACATACAAACACAGTCTACATGGAGCTCTTCGTCCAATGATCACAACAGGTAGTCTACATGGAGCGCACCGTCCAATGATCACAAAAGGTCACACATACAAACACAGTCTACATGGAGCGTACCGTCCAATGATCACAACAGGCCATACATACAAACACAGTCTACATGGAGCGTATCGTACAATGATCACAACAGGTCACACATACAAACAGTATACATGGAGCGCACCGTCCAATGATCACAACAGGTCACACATACAAACACAGTCAACATTGAGCGTATCGTCCAATGATCACAACAGGTCACACATACACTGTTTACATGGAGCGTATCGTCCAATGATCACAATAGGTCACACATACAAACACAGTCAACATGGAGCGTATCGTCCAATGATCACAACAGGTCACACATACAAACACAGTCAACATGGAGCGTATCGTACAATGATCACAACAGGTCACACATACAAACACAGTCTACATGGAGCGCACCGTCCAATGATCACAACAGGTCACACATACAAACACAGTCAACATGGAGCGTATCGTCCAATGATCACAACAGGTCACACATACAAACACAGTCTACATG